GGGAGAGAAAAGGACAGACCACCCCGAGCCTCCCCGGGAGAGAAAAGGACAGACCACCCCGAGCCTCCCCGGGAGAGAAAAGGACAGACCACCCCAAGCCTCCCCGGGAGAGACTGCTGTTGTTCTCCAAAGCATCATCTCTCTCAAGTCAACACACAACCAAAAGTCCCAGTGGGACCAAATGCCCAGTGTGTGCCAGGCACTGAGGACGGCACTCAATATTCCACATCTCATTGAATCAGCTCAGCAGTCCTTGAGGCCCTCCCCATTGCCCAGGTGAGGAAACCGAGATTCCAGGGGTAAAGTGACCTGCTGAGACCCGCCTGCTGTTGATTGACAGCACAGGACAGAGCAGGCCATCTTCACCGTTCCCTGCATTGAGCAGCTCGTGCATAGTGTGACAGGAGCCAGGGGAGGCCCCGTCACTCCTAACATGCAGAACTCAGGGTCCTCCATGGCTGCTAAGGCCAGGCTCCGCCTCACTATTTCCACAAGCAAACCAAATGCCAACTCAAGAGAGCACTACTTGGACCCTGAAGACAGCAGGGCTCCCCACCCCAAGGGCTGACCAATGTGCCAAGACCCAGAACTTGGAAGAGGAAAGTCCCCTGGGCTCTGGCAGTCAGCCCCTGCCCCTTTGGCAGATGAAAACCAAGAAAAAGAAAAAGAAAACCAGGATGTTGCACAAACGTCCCCTTTGGAGGCTCCTGCGTAGGCTATTTTGAAACAGCTGGCATGGTTCCGTTTCGGGTTACACCCAGTTTCGTTTCTGCTTCTCCCTGGGTGTTGGTGATAGGGACATCACTGAACAGGTCACAGAACTGGCCAGGACTGTCCAGGGAGGGCCCTGGAAGGGAAGCCCAGGGTGCAGGCCCCACCACACTCTTCCTAACATCTCACACGGTCCAACCCACCCTTACCTGGCAAATGGAGAAACGGAAGCTTAGAGCCTCCAGTCCTTTGCCCAACATCAAACAGCCAGGGCCCACCTCACAGAACAGGAGAGGGCAGAATGGCTGTTTCCAAGCACTACAGAATTGATTTCCTCCTCCCAAGAGGCCTCTCCCCACTGCGGCTGCAGGGGTGTATGAGGCAAAGCAAGAGAAAGCCTCTTGGTCACCAAAAAGGGAGCTGAAGGTGGGGAGAGGAGAAGATTCCTGAGCACAAAGGCCAGCACGGGTGGCCATGGCTTCAGCGGAGCTGAAGGCTTTTTCTCCCGAGACATTCCAAACTCAAGGCTTGTGTGGGGGATGGCTGAGTTAGTCCTGCCTGGAACCAGGGGGTGGAGAGTGACCCTGCCCCTCACGCCCAACCTGAGCCACGTGGATGGGGACATCCCGAGGAGAGGGCGCTGTCCCCTGCCCATCTCATCTTCCCCAGCCCAATCCTTCAGGAGTAGGTAAAGTGAACTCAGATGCCTTAGAGGCCAGCAGGTAACATCAGTGGGAAAGGTGGGTGAGGACCAAGGGGAAGAGGTCACCTGTCACTCAGGGGGCTGGTGCTGCGTGGGAAGGTGGGCCAGTGAGCCAGCTCTTCCTACCCTCCAAGGAGACCCACAAGTCTGAATTTTATACGATCCCTCCCAATTTTTAAATGTTGGCAACTACTGCCATGTTCTTAAAAATAC